TGATATGCTGACCTGAGGTCTGCTCCGGGGCTCTCCGCTCACTGAATTTGATATTATACCTTCTGTATCTGGGCTCATCTGAATAAATTGGAAACGGTTAGTGGAATTGGGTTTGTTGAACTCGTGACAGATCTCACAGGCGCTGCTTTTAGACATAAAGAGGCCTCCCCGTCCTGAGCCAACACCACGAGCCACTCTTTGACTTCAGTCTGCTCTTTTATGGTGCCGATATAAAAGCAGGAGCTCTTACTTCTGTGTCTGCTGCAGTCTAATAACCCCCAATAAGTGTTTGTTTATGATAACCTGTCTAGTCTATTGCCACAGCTTGTTACAGAGCTGCTTCTGCATATGGAGCCCTGGCATGAATACCAACGCTGAGAGAGAGAAAGAGAGAGAGAGAGATGTGCTGCATTAACTCGTTTGTCACTATGTCGACAATATTAATGCCTTTTCTGCAGACTTGATAAAGACTGTTCCCCCAGCAGAGCTCACATTAATGTGCTGGAGTGCAGTCGTCGCTGCGTCATAAACAAAGCCACAGTGACACAGACAGAAGATACAGACACTGTACAACAGATCGCTAAACCCCAGGAACCAGAGAGGGATATCTCCACAGAGTCCCTTTATTATCTCTCATTCTTATTCCCTTCATGCTGGTCTTCAGGTTCGCCATCTAAACCTAATCATTTGTTTTTCCTGCATTAATGAGTTTTGATACAATAGGATCTGAGAGTTTCTCTTCCTGCTCACGTTCCAGTTTCAGCTCAAACAAATGAAAAACAAAGTCATATTTAGGCTTTTGTTTTGGCGAGAACACCGGCGACTGAACACAGCAGGAGAATTTAAAAAAAACAAAAACAAAAAACAAAAAACTTTTATGATGTCTCTGATCTCTGAATCGCTGGAGTCAAACAGGTCTGTTGATGAGCTCGTTTCAGGCGGGAAACACAACGAGTCAGTCTGAGAATGGAGACGTCAACTTCCTGTGACAGAGACAAACAAATTCAACAGAAGAATTGACACAAAGTTTGTTTTGATATGGACTTAAAGAAATAATTTCTCAATCAGCATTTCTCTTCGATTGTTTGTGGAAAAACTTTAAATGTCAAAAGCAACTGCCAACACAAGTTCTGTGGTCACTGAGGCTGATGTGAACGGGACCTGACCCAGGAATATCAATATCAATCAATACATGTAAAGAATCTCCTAAATATTCTGTTGTGTCCCGATTCAGGGGCTAAATCGTGTAGACCGTGAAGGCTGAACCGAAATAAGATGGTCTGGTCTCCGGAGAAATTCCCATTTATCCTCGACCACTGTTTCGTTTGCAGAGTCCGCCATGTTTTCTTTTTGAACAGTAAGTCATCACTAGTGCGGTTGTAGGGGTAGGTAGGGCCACGAAGGACCCACCCATCGATCCATCAGAGAAACGAAGGATCCGATGAAGAATCTGTGAAAGGAACAAAGGATCCAACAAAGGAACAAAAGATCCAAAGAAGGATCCGATGAAGGATCCAACAAAGGATCCAACAAAGGAACAAAAGATCCAAAGAAGGATCCGATGAAGGATCCAACAAAGGATCCAACAAAGGAACAAAAGATCCAAAGAAGGATCCGATGAAGGATCCAACAAAGGATCCAACAAAGGAACAAAAGATCCAAAGAAGGAACGAATGAAACGACCAGGAAACAGCTCGACACAAACAGACGGATAATGTTGCTCTGTGTTTATTGAAAAGGGTAAAAAGGCAATTTAATCATAATACAATGTGTTAGATCCTTTTTTCAGCCTGTTTATCTGATTCCAAGAGGCCAAACCGTCATTTACGGCAGCTTTAAAGTCACATTTAAATGAGTTGGGATGGGATTTCAAGATAATATACACTTAAAGATCTGACAGAGTTTAACCTGTAGGATGAGAACATGTTATGAACTGGTGGCTGACGAAACCGTTGAGGAGAGAAATGAAGTGTTTAAACTTTCAGCTGGTCAATATTAAATAGTAATAAGTCAAATTTGATGGTTCCAGCTTGAGTGAAGTTACTTTTCTTAGTTTCATCATTGTAAACTTATCACTTTAGTTTTTGCTTGTGACTTGAGTCTGTCACTGACGACGAGTGTCTCATTGTTTTTGACATTTTTTTAGGTAAAAAAAAAAAAGAAGATTAATTTAAATGATAAATGTTGGTTTCTGCTCTGTAAGCTAAAAAGTCTTGAGTGAGGTTCTCTTAAAGTTGACTTTGTGGATTTCACCTGACAGCGGTAAAACTCGGTGACAGCGCCGTGTTATTGATAAGATGGATTTTTAATTAAAACCCAGAGAAAGAAAATGTAGTCTGGGGGTGTCTTCCTGTTAAAAAGCTGTATATTATGATCTGGACACTTAGCTAACAAGAGGGGGGGAAGAAAAAGAAGTCATTTTTCATTTCTCCGTGACTTTGATGTGAGACCTGCTGTGTCAGCCACATCGCTTAAAATGTGCCGACAGGAAACTGCAGGAAACAAGGTGGTTTTAATGTGAGCGCTGCCGGGCTCCGAGGTGTCGGAGCAGAAAACGAGCCGACTGTAAAAACCGAGCGGAAACCTCGAAGCTCCACATCGAGCTTCCTCTGATGATACACTTGTTCTCTGTTAGGGGAATTATGCGGCGGGCTTTATGGAAGTGTAATGGCAATATGTTCATGTCAGGATGGATTGTTATGCTAGAATAGATTTTCTGCTCCGGCGCTGGAGTTTCCTCCCTCCAGCACACGGCGGGTAACTGATGTCTCACAGAGCCCAGCAGAGGCAGATCACTGTGGTTAATAGGACGTAACGTATACTGAGACCGGGAGCTTTGTTAGAGGAGGCTGGAGCACTGTGTCACTATATGTGTGTGTGTGTGTGTGTGTGTGTGTGTCGCACTGTATGCACGAGAAGTTGCATGTGTGTATCAGTGTGTATGTCCAACCACAGCTGTCCACTGGTTTCCATCAAAAAGCTGCAGCTTGAAGAAATAGTTCCCCAGGATTTATTTGCTTTGCTTGGAGCTGCAGTCAGGATGTGGTTAGCTTAGCTTAGCTTAGCTTAGCATACAGAGTGAAGGCAGAGGGGACAGCTCAATAAATCTGGCCCATACTTCGCCCACACATTTGTTTTCTTCTGGCCCAGTGTACACCTGGTTCCACGGCCCGAATCTGGCCCCTGTACGGCATGAGTGTAAGATGCAACTTCCACATCTGGACCAATTCTGGCACACACAGAAAATCCTCTAGCTGTCACCCCAGATGTGGAAGTGTAAGGGCCAGATCTCAGCTGTTCAGAAGTTCAGAAATATATCCGTCCACACTTTTAAAGATCACTTATTATTAATTATTGTTTTTATTTGATCCTCGCACAAACAAAAATATGAGACAATTTGTGTTTTTATAGGGAGATATGTGCCGGAACTATATCTACAAAAACAATAGTGTATCCATCCGCCCTGCATGCATTTGAGAACTGAGCTTCAAAATCAGGAGCATTGAGCTTTTTCTTTTTTTTTTCTTTTATTTAGGAGAAATGAATGATGTTAGCAACATGCTAAAATCCATGCTAACAACTCTTAACAGACAAAATAACATCTCTATTGGAGAACAGGAACAAGACAATTATTATTGTTTATTATTAACTATTATCATTATTATTATTATTATTATTATTAATATTGTTTCTATTGAGTTGATGGACACCTGAATTTTCCCCAGGAGATAATTAAAGTCTCTATTCATCTAGACAACATTCATTTTTAAACATTTGATCCATATTATGAAAATACTTCATATCAGAAATATTGAAGCTGTTTTATCTTGTTTTTCTGGCTGTATGTTCAGGTCCGTGTTGTGTCCAGCTGCAGGACAAAGTTCCCCTGGTAGATGATAAAGTTAAAGTTGAAACTTGAGTTAAATTATTGTGGTATACGAGGAAGCACCGCCACATCGAGTGTTTGCACCCGTCCCCCGTGTGAAGTCTTTGTCATGCACGCGTCCTCCCGGAGGAACCCTGTGGAAACCCTGTTACAGGTTCAGATGAGTGTGGCAGCTGATTTATGTGCTGTGGTCTGAGGCGCCGCGCTCATTACTGCAGCGGCGGAGCTGAACACCTTCACTGTGACAGTGGAAGCAGAGATGTTTGTGCTGGTGACGGATGAAGGTGGTCGGAGTGAATGTGGAAGTTACTCGGTCTCAAAACACCCGTCTGAAATTGATTTAGATAAAGACTTTGGAGAAAGAAAGAAAACGTGCGTCCTGCTTCTGTCTGAGCTCCACAGTCTGACCATGTTAAGTCCTTAATAAATCAGATAAAAAAACTTCAAATCCATGATTTCTCTGATTGTAAATATGTCTGCAGGTCTTCTTCCTCCGGAGCTGTAGAGTCTGGACTCTCATCATAACGTCTGCTGTGATTCGATGCCCGAGAAATAAAAAAAAAAGGAAAGAGATCATTCGATAAAAATCTGAAACATGAGACATGTGGACTGTGCGCCAGGAAACATTAGCCTACCAAGCTAACTATTGTTAGCCGACACACGGCTCACCACGTGGGCAGACCGCTCTGACTTTAGCGGCCCTCGGTCGGCCCGTTGCCGGCGGCAGGACATGAGGATTTTATGGAGAGGAGAAACAGTGAAGTTTTAAGTTTACTTCCTCTTTCATTTTTTCTGATTTACGTTTGAAACGAAGGTTAAAATCAGTAAAACATCTGATCAGTTCAACATCCTCCTGAAGTGACTCCAGCTTTATTAAACTATCATATGGTTCTGTTGAGACTCTCCCAGCTCCTGGTTCAGGTTCTGGTTTAATACTCAAAATGTTCACAGTGACGTCAGACACAATCTGTTTATTTACTAGGTAACCAAGGCAACCATCTTTCACTAACCTGAACCAGAGAGCTGATGTTGTCTGGACCTCAGTCGGGACTTAATAAACCCGCAGCGGCTGAACATGATCTCACCTGTGATTATAAATTAAAATGTCCCTCAGCACAATGAAGTTGAAATGTAAACGTCTTTGATATTATTAATGGATGCTGTGTTTTCTGTGTTGTTGTGTTGGGACGTTACAGTGAAGGGAAACACAGATTAGCTTCTGTTTTGTCACGCCGCAGTGACGAACCCTGTCCGGCTGCAGATGGAGAGAGTTGAGGGAGTACAGTGTGTTTCTGATGATGTTTCATCTGAAGCCTTGTGATGTGGAGGTAATAGCTGTAGCAGATCTCCAGAGGGAGGACAGTGGACGTCCAGACGAGGCTGTTAGCTGTTAGCTGAAGGCAGCGGTGCATGGCCGCCGCCGCTGCCCGCTGGTCGGTTATTTCACGCCTGTCTGGGCTTCCCGGAGCGCCGTGAAAAGCAAAGTGGATGAAAAACTCTGTCTAGGGAGAACAGGCTCAGTGTGATGTGTTTTCAGTGTCCAAGCAGCAAACCTGCAGAGAAAAGTGACAGAAGGCTCCTTTTTTTTTTTCCTTGTGATGTCCGGGTTCCTGTCGGGCTCGTGTTGTGATTAAACTCCGACGTCACCGTGTGTTTGACTGATACGAGAGGCGACGCTGCCTGTGTCTGATGATGCTCTGTGATTGGTTACAGGCCTCTGTGGTCAGTGGTGGATGAAGTGTTCAGACCTTTAATTACTGCAATATAAAAACACTCCATCACAAACGGAGAGGTCGTATATAATCATATTTATCCTACAGAATATAAGCAGGAGTGGAGAGTTCGTCCAGTATCTGTACTTTACATACTCTCGACAACCAAATACACAAACAGCTGCGTTGTGCTGAGTGTCTGCAGCCGGTGTGTTTCCTGAAGTCGTTTGTGTTTTGACTGTTTTGCATGTGTTTTCTTCCACCGTAGATTCCACAGTCTGTTTGATGAACATCATGACTGTTTTGATCAATACTGAGATCATGATTATTTAACACGATGACTCACTGACTTTAGAAACACCACGTGTTTATTGAACTTTAAAAAAAAAAAAAAACTGTCTTTTTAACAGTGGACTTTCTTGATGTTTAAATAAAATTAAACGGAAGAACAAATAAATAAAAAAAAGTCTAAATACATGAAATTAAATTTTATAAAAATAAATTAAATAAAGGAAAAAAAAATGTTTTAACATTAGTGAACATCCACAACCTACTGAAAACAATTCAGTTTATAAAAATAATAAATAGAAATAGACCAAAATAAATGAGAGCAAATAAGTTGTAGTGCTCTGCACCAACGTACTGAAACATATATTCAACATTTTGGTAAAATATATTCAGTTACTCAGTCCAAGGAAGTTAAAGGCTGAACTGTCAGGATGACGCACTCCTTCGTACGCCGCGAACGTAACCAGGAAGTGGATAGGGGTTTTGTTTTGTGAAACATAATGTGCACAAATTAATCTCGATTATCTTGTTAAATTAAATAAAATTGCCCTGATGGACAGGTGCACAAACTGCTAGAAATATGAAAACAACAAAGGCTCCTCTTGTTGATTCAATTGTGTTTTAATGTCCATGTCAGTCAGTCAGTCAGTCAGTCAGTCAGTCAGTCAGTCAGTCAGTCAGTCAGCAGGTTGTTTCAGACTCGTCAGGTTCTGTAAATGTGGAACAGTACGACAATGTGTTGACATAAGAGAAGTACTTGTGATGCTGCGTCTCGTCTGTTTCCACTTCTCATGCTGCTGCTGTACCTGTCGTCTTCTCCCGTGTTGCTCTGATCTGTTTCCTCTGTGGTTTTCTGTTACTCCCCCGCTGCTGCATCGACCCGCTCCCCCCACAGAGATCAATAAAGTTTAGTCCAATGTAGTCTAATCTAAGCTGAGTGCTGTTTAGTTTCCCGTGTGCCGTCATTGGCTCTGACGATTGCTGGCTTCCTGTTTTTTTTTTTTTCTCCAGTGTTTCCTGTCCAGGCGATGGCTCAGCAGGCGACGGCGGGGCGGCGCTACCTGCGGGTGTTCGTCAGCGGCTTCTTCGTCGCCGTCCCCATCACGGTCACCGTCCTCGATCGATTCGCCTACGTGGCGCGAGTGGAGGGAGCGTCGATGCAGGTGAGACGCCACAACACATCCGCACCCACTAATCAGAGCGAGATGACCCTGAGGTCAACTGGAAATCTCTGACTTTACAAACTGCCGCTAACGGGGGGGGTCAGAGGTCACAGCGCCATCACAACATGTGGAGTGCTGGGAAATGAGGCTGAGAGAAAAGCTGTTTTTGTCTAAACTCTGACCGTTTTTCATCGACTGCTGACTGTGCGTCTGCTGTCGCACCAATACCTTCACTGTAAAACCAGTTCCCTGGATATTTTATCTCTATAGACGTGACAAAGTGCCACAATCATCATCACTCATCTTGATTTTCTGTTTTTATAACAATTAGATATAAAATAATATAATTATAATATATAACGTTTCTGGGCCGGGAGGGAAGGTGTTCACATCACGAGGCTCCGTTCAGAGTTTTAAAATCCCCCCAAGCTTTGAAATCGAACGTTGCATCGAACACAAGAAGAGAAATTTAACTGATTAAAATCTGGAACACATCACACTTAAAAGAACAGGAAACAGTTCTACTTCCTGCTTCCTGCTCCTCGCCTCTCCCGTCTTCACAGGTGACACCTGAAGTCCACCTCCACACATATACAACAGACACGTGTTCTGCTTATTCTCTCTTCTCTCAGATGTTTGACCTTCACACTGTTTTCGGATTCATCCGCCTAAGGGGAGAAAGTTTCTCTGAGCTCGCGTACACCTGGACGTACCTGCAGGAATTTGTGACATCACAACTAGTCCGGAGCCAATCATGAATGGACTTTTCAGTGAAATCAGAGACACCTTGTTTCCAATAGTTCAAGTTCTGAAATCGTTAGAGGATTATATTTTACATATTCATAGATTCGTGATTTTTCAAAAAAGAAAATTTCTTTAAAGATGAAATAGATGAAGTTTTTACTAATTAGCTAACTAATTAACTAATTAGCTTAAATAAAGAATTCACGTAAATTCAAACATCAGATTTGTAGGGTTATTTGTGAGAATTGTTTTATTGGTTACACAAATAACCCTGGTTCTCAGATCTGTGGCTGAACTAATGGTCCGCTCCTTCCAGCCAATCAGAACTGAGAATGTTTTAGTCGCCATGTATGCCTTAAAGGACAAGTTCAAACTTTATCTCAGGTCAATATGGGTCATAATTATATTAATAAAATTAAAACTTAGAATTAATAAATGAATTAACTAATAAACTTCCAGTGAAATCAATAAATAAGTGACGTATGGAAAATAGAAGATAAAGAAAATAAAAGTTAATTCAAAAATTCTTCTTTAATGAATAAATATATTAATAAGAAATTAATTAAATCTAGCTGAATATCAAATAAAAAAAGAAAAAGTTAATTAATTAGTAATTATGGAATAAAATAAATCGGTGTCCACTGAGATAAATAAATGAGTAGATAACAGCAGCAGCGAGGCTCAGCTAAACGTCTCAGATCGAGGATCATTTGTGCAATCAATACAAAAGCAGACAATCAGCTGCTGCCTCACACAAACATTCTGCAGGAAACAACCTTTAACATTTATGTAATGGTTTTGACATTCAAAAAAAATACCTATAAACATGATACTGACACGAGTGACCTTGGAAAACAGCGTTGTGTTTTCAAAATAAGAGCGTCAGATTAGAAAACACTGCTGAATGTTGTTTGTTTAGTTTGTTTAGTTGAGACTTGAGACACCAGCTGCTTCATCTACAACGAAATGGCTGCACACTGCAGATTAAATACACAAACACAAACTAATCAATTGGTGATAAAAGTTTTAGAGCTGGCTGCGGTTAACGAGCCGTGTCCCACCTGCTTTACTGCTCCACACTGAGTCGGCGTCTTCTTTTTTGGAAGTGGTAACCAGGCGGCCATGTTGGAGACGAGACAGCTCCACAAACACTTCATGCATGGCCTCTTTTTATTCTCATCCAAACAGTAAACAACCTGCGCCCCCCCCCCCCCCCATCTGAGAAGCAGAGATGTAAAGAGAAAAAACAAAACAAAACAAAAAAACAAGTGCCTGTTGGGTTTTGACCGACTTGGTTTCCTGTCGTGCAGCTCATTATCCCCGACATGTGTTGCATTATGCATAAAACAATCTGCTCTCTATTTTTAATGAGCATGAATATTAAAACTGCATGTTGCTCTTTGGTTCGGGTTGTGTATTCATGTAGCTGTGTGCGCCGGGGTCGCGGCGATGACCTCCGCGAGAACTTCCCCAGAGTGATCACATCCTATAAGATAACTAATGAAACCAAACACTGGCTGTTTTTAAGGCGGGAACCCGCTCGACTAAATGAGATGTTTACACTCCGTTAGATGCCGGAGACACTGACTCAGAGTAACGCGGCTCCTCGGGTTCACTCGGGCTGAGGTTTATTCTGGTTAATCTGTTTATGTGAAGCATCGATCCCCAGTGATTTACTCTGTCTGACGCATAAATAAACAAGTTACCATTACATTCACGTGTGCAGCACAGAAGAGACTGTAAAAAGCTCTGTATTGTCTATCCGACTGAGCTGCACGCCGCTGTAATTAAAAGGTAAAGGCACGGTGACCCTGGGAGTGGCAGTGAGTCATCTAACGCCGGCCGCTGTGCTCGACATCTGAATGTTCCCATAATGCCGTCTGGGTGAAAGATCCTGTGCTCCTGATTACTGCCGCTCGCCGCGCTCTGTCTGTAGTCTTTATGATAGAAAACCACCTGTCATGGCGGCGCTGTGGCCAAGGCTCCTCCTTTGTGGCGGAGAAAGGGGATGAAGTCATGACAGGTCAGAGACACGGCTCTGTGTTGTTGTTGTTGTTGTTGTTGCTCCAGAAACACTTGACTGCTGTTGGTGCATGAACAGAAAAGAGTCAGTATCTGGTGCGACACAGATTTGATCAGGTTGATTGTTGCTGGATATTGGCAGGAAGTGGATCACGCTGTCTCACACACAGATCCAGATCGTCTCAAACCTGCTCACCGGGCGACATGTCCGCTGACGACGCACGCCCTGCAACAGCTGGGATGTTTTAAGCTTCCAGGAAGTTGTGAGCGTCGTGCAGCAGCGTCAGGTGTGTGGTTTTTTTGCACAGATTAAAAAAACATGAAAGATAACATGATAATTAGTTCATCAGCGAGCTGTATTGGTCCTCGGCTTAATGTCGCGATATTTAGGCTGGACTGTTTCCACTCGTCTGTTACCTCTGGCCAGGCTAGCTGTTTCCCTCTGTTTCCAGTCTTTATGCTAAGCTAAAGGCTAGCAGCTGTAGATTCATGTCTGAAAATGTCTGACTTTTAACCCTCTGAGGGAAAAACCAGGAAAAACAGCCAAACGCAGCAGAAAGAAGTCCTCGCCCTGTCGGGGCGGGACGGATCTGGAGATCTGGATTCACGCCACGCTGAAATTACAGTGATGTCATTCTGCAGCTGTCGACACTTTCCTCACAGCTGATTGTTTTCATGAGAGATTTTAGCAGCAGGTTCATCACAGAGCAGCAAGAGACCGAAAACACAAACACACACACACACACACACACACATACAGCAAGACAGAAGACAGTGTGTGTGTATGTGTGTGTGTGTGTGTGTGTATACCTCATCCTTTCTGCAGTGCTTGGGGTTGTTGTCATGGAAACAGTGTTTTCTGAGCTCCTGAGTAATGGGAGGTTGTGAATATGAAATGTTTGAGTTTTTAATTTATGTCAGAGAGAAAAGACGAGATCAAACGCTCAGACTCATGATCGTTATCTCCGAGTTTCATAAAACAAAACGCTTCATTTTCGGTTTTCTGTGAAGATTCTTATGAACTCTGACTGTATTCATCTTAAAGTCATTTAATCATTAAATCATTACATCGTTTTCGTTTCATGATTCAGCTCATTAACTTTAACATTCACACCGTTTTACTGTACGTTGAACGTTCTTTAACCCTCATTGATTAATGTTGCATAATTAATATCGCAGACTATTTTCTTACTTTCCTGGCAGCTGTGGTTTTATATTTATTTCTGAATTCTACAAAAATCAATTAGCAGACTTGTAAAACCCTGTATAACCCATTTAAATCAACACCAGGTCTGCATAAATGAAAGTCTGATTATCATTGCAGGGAGATGCAGATTTCGCTCAGATTGATTTGAAAAGTTAACACTGTGTTAATATAATTTTTAATTACATCAATAATTATTATTATTGACAACAGAACAATGTTTTCATCATCAATTGATTTTTTTAAATTTTTTTATCACAGCTTCTCAGAGCTGAAGGTGACGTCTTCATGTAATTAATCTTTTCTCAGCGACGGTCCAAATATCAGATCCAGCAAATCATCAGTGGAGAAGTTGGAAACGGTGGATTGTGTTTTTCTTTCTTGCCGAGATGAAATTATGTTGTTTATTTATTTAACAGGGACGATGCAGTTTAACATAAATCCAATACAAAGCATGACACTGATGCACAGACAGTTTATAGCTGCTGCTAGTTTTCAGCTCACAGTGTAATTAAAACTACACACTGCAGATATGAAAGTAAAATACTATATTGAAATGCATTAATTATGATGTAGAATATAAGAAGAGACAAAACATGTGATAATATCAAACAATTAAAGATATATAAAGATGTACAATCTTAAAGGAGACAAATACTCAAACAGAACAATTAACAATTAATAATAGAATGAACTGAACATTCACTGTGATGGACGTGACGATCATCAGTGCTTTCTGTCCTGGATCAAGTGAAGTGTGAGCGTCTGAATTGCTTTAAGTGAAAGGAGAAAAAAAGTCTTTGTCTGATCTTTATGAGGTCACAATGTTTAAAATGTTTAAAGCAACATTTTAAAATGATCGTGTACATCATATACGCCACGAGGCTGACAGGCTCTGAGATGACAGGTGGAGTTAACCACGCAACCCGCCCACAGTGATAAACATCTCAAAGCAATTTACAATTTAATAAGTTTACATGTGATACGTGCGTAATGACGCTGCTTATCTGCCTGTTGTAACACTTCTCTGAAGCTGCACACGTCATGATATCACTGAGTCAAATACTCAGAGTAAAGCTGTTGTGATATTGTTTGTGGCTGCACCATTACATCAGATAAAGAAGCATTTAATAAACAATTCCCAAAGTTATAACCTTATGTATTTTATATTTTCACCCACCGGTCGCTGCTGCAGTCTCCTACAGAGGTCAGTGCTCTGGTTAATAACCGGTTTACACTGTCAAACTCTTACTCAACAAAAACAAAAACGGAGTTAATGATCAAAGAATCTGCCGCAACCAACCTGTCACACACACTTTAACAATTTCCTATGAATTCAGACTCAGAGTTTCTGAAACAATGCAGCATGTAATACGGTGAAATATGACAGTGAGGGGAGCTGATGAAGTATCCAGCTCTAACTGATAAACTCTCAGGCTGACGGCTCTCACAGGGATATTTATTTTGGGGAATGACAGATGAGAGATATTCTGTCAATTACCCCAGTGAGCGTGAAATGGCCTGTGCACGTCCTGTTTAATGAAACAGTCGTTGCGCGTCGCGCCGCGTGTGTGTGTGTGTGTGTGTGTGTGTGTGTGTGTGTGTGTATGGACACAAACAAGTTGTAAGAATAATGATGTTGTTGTTGAGGCGGGGGAAAGAGAAGGGGGGGTTCGTAGACAAGCATGTGATGAAGCTGTCATGGAGGACACGGGTGTTGGGAGCTTTGGGAAACCCTGAGCTAAATACTAAAGTGTCAAATGTATTGATCTTAAATCTACACAAGGTTGTGTAGTTAATAACCTCAGTACGTTATAGTGAAATCAAAATTTAATCAATGATTTGCCAACAGCATTCATTCAAATTAAGGTATTTATAAGTTTTGCTATTGCTACATAGCTAACGTTAGCATTAGCAGCTGTTTACTTACCAGTCTAGAAGAAACGTTGTGAGTTCAGCATCAAACTTCAGTCCTTTACTCACCAACAACTGTCTCCAGAGGTGGAATCAACCCTCTTGTTTTGCTTCTATTTCTATCACTTCTCTGTCCTCCACTGAAGCTAGCATGCTAACCAGCTAGCCCCAGCACAGTCGGACTGTCTCATCACTTTCCGTTACCGAGTCACTGTAGCGTCCAGGCTTCCCTGAAGAATTAGCTGAGTATCTGAGCACGTATTATAACCTCTTGTATTGGAAACACGTAGATGGCTGAAGCTCTTAGCAAGACTGGTAAGTGAACAGCTGTTAATGCTAACGTTAGCTACGTAGTGAAAATACAACTTTTTGACCGGTATCTATTTACCGACATAAAAACTGAACAGGACATTTTTCCATGTGAAAACAAGCGACAATTTGTTTCATATCACAGTTTCAAACATATCTTTGGGGTTTGTGATAAGCTATTGGTCGCTAATATCTAATATTGGCCACGATGATGTTAACACACCGTTAATTTAATTGGCAGCCATTTTGCAAAAACATACCCTAAATCTAAACAATGGTGGAATGGATTATTTTTACCCAGTTGTTGTCACATGATCATAAGTCTTATATTTACTTCCTGTCTTCAGATCAGCAGCTAATTTAACTTCCTGTCCGTTCACTATGGAAACCAAAATAAAATCTGTCATTTGTGCATTAAATTGCGAGCAGGACTTATTGAAGTCCGACTGAAATGGCTTTGAAATCTGCTCTGTAAATCACTCGCTCTTTGAGAAAAAAAACTTAAAGGGTTAAATTAGTTTTAATTCTGAATCTGAATAAATGTGATTTCAGTTGCGACGAATGTAATTTTCTTCTTACCATTTCAAAGGGGGCTGAATGACTGCAGACTCTGAGATCTGAAACACTGAAGTGTCCTTGAATGCACTAATAGTCCCTGCTTGCAGATGCATTTCCACAACAATATCAAAACACTGATTAAAATAGAGAGGGAGGCAAAGAAGGAAAACCACTCCTGGATGTTCCTTTTTAAAGACAACTTCTTGACATTACAGCAGCGTGAACTGTTTCTCACCATAACAATATTGCTGGTGAACTGGAGCAGAAATCCAGCAGCATTGTCAGTGAAGAGCTGTTATATCACCATGTTAAATCATACAGACGTGCCGGTGTGAACCTGGTGCTACCTGTGGCACTATTTCATATGACTGCGTGGAGTATAACTCTGCAACTCTCTGTCTGTTTGGGGGAGAAACTGTCCCTAAAGGTGCTACGTGCAGCATTTTACCATCCATAAATCAGCAGCACATAAATTTAGGGACACTGCTGTAATAACCATAAGGGACCTCGTTAAGGCAGCGCGATAATTCACAGTCGTCAGTTTGGTGAGAAGCCGAGCAAAAGAACGAGAGAAAGCGACAATGAATGATGCAGAGAGGCAGAGAGGAGCTGCAGGAGAAATGTCCTCGAAATTGTTTTTTGATTATTCTGTTCTGAAAATGAGTTAAAAACTGTTTTTAAATAAAACGCAGATGTTAGATAATGCAGGAATAATTAATTATCTCTAAATACTTTCTGAAAAACCATCTTCATTTGGCTAAAAGGGCAAAACCTTGAGTCATTGCTCCATTTCAGAAGCAGAAATGATGAATAAAGATGTTTGACTCATACTGTAAATGTAGTTCACTTAAAAGCTGAATGAATTAAAGTAAATGTGAAGCCTAATCGTGGGAAAAATAAGATATGCAAATTATGAAACATTATGTAATAACAGCAGGACGGAGGGGACTGAACACTGTAGAAGTTGTTAAAATTATATTAAAATTAAAATGATAAAAAAGACCTTGCTGCCATGCTTGTACTTCTTTCATGGGAGCGGTAGTTTTTTTCTGTGCCCAGAAAGTGATGGTTTAACTTTGTTTATATCACGAAGGTTTCAGCTTCTAATTTGTCTTAACTTGTCTTTGCATATGGACGATAAAACCTCCAGAACATGTTTCAGAAAGACCGAAGACTACTGTCATTTAGCTACTTGGCTAACGCCCCTTAGCGCGGCTAACTCATCACTGGCTTGTTTGCAAGAGATATAAAACTAACTTCTTTTTTATTTTATCACAACTTTCTGTGAGTTAATAACTTTAAAAAAACAAAAAACAGATCATCTAGCAGCTGCTCCTTCATGTTTGGTTGTTACAGAGCAGGTCACAGTTAACACCTCTATAGTTCAGGTGTGTGAGCATGACGAGTTACCGTGGCTACAGATTCTTGTGTGTGTGTGTGTGTGTGTGTGTGTGTGTGTGTGTGTGTGTGTGTGTGTGTGTGTGAGGCCTATGTGTAAACAGGCCTCATGAAACAGATGTGAGTGTGGGAGGTTGATGTCGTCCTTCTGACCAAACTATATTTCTGCTCTATTACACGTTACACTGACTCACCACCTCATGTGACTCTTATATATTGTTCATATATATATATATATATTTGTAGTGTGTGATCGTGGGATGTCTGTACAGTGTGTGGGCAGCGACTCTGTGTGTGTATCTGTGACTCTGATGATATATTGCTCCCTTTTATATGAATTGCTTTGTTTCTGTGTTTGTTTGTATGTACAGCCGTTCCTGAACCCGGAGGGGGGGTCGGACTGTGACGTGGTCCTCCTGAACCGCTGGAGTGTGAGGAACTACCAGGTCCAACGAGGCGACATCGTCTCCGTCATGTGAGTAACTTTTAAAAACAACGCAACACACACACGCACAGACACAGGGTGATGACATCAGCAGCTGCAGGTAAGTCGTGTGATGGTTTTAGAAAGGACTTCCACGCCTCAGGTGTACCTGTCAATCAGTGGTATGGTGTACTGTGTGATCCGGATCAAGACGACCGGGAGGTTGGTCCAGATGTTTCCCGCAGAAAATATTTTCACTGATCTAAAAATTTCCAGTTCCAGCCACTCAGATAGCGCCACCAACGCCAAGGACAGTGTCAAAAAACATACACCTGACTTCATAGAAAAAAACATACAAATTCATAGTAAATGATCCAGATCTGTCCCTGGTCCGTTTCCCATCCCTCCACCAAGTTTGGCTCAAATCAGTTCAGTATTTATTGCGTAATACCGCTGACAAACAGACCAACACAGGGGAAAACATATACATAAAAGTAGTAATACACAGGTGTATATAGGTGTATTTAAAACATATTATTCAAATTTCAGTTTTGTGGCATTATTCATAGTTAAACCAAGTGCCACTTGGACAATAAAACACTATAAAACACAATATCAGAAGATGAAATAAAAAGTAGAACAAAACTAACAACTGAGAACAAGTCTGATTTGTTATATTTTAAAAAGTTCAGGAGTAATAATGTGAAATGCTTTGAGGACATTTTAAATGGCGACTGCTTCTGAAATGGTAGGTTTGTGGGAACAATAGGACCAGTCTTCATCTGGCCTTTCATGGCTGCAGGCAGATGAGTAATTCATGTAAGAAGTGTAATTTATTTGTCAGACTGTCAAAGCCGAGCTGTCAGTGCCGCAGTGATATTTCACTGCTTTTACTTGATGACACTGCGAGTGCTGCAAGTACCTTTTATACTCATTGTTTGTTTTTGTTGTTCTGATATTGTTCTGCTTTTTGACGCCATCTTACTTTTGTTAATCAAATTTTTGGATGCTATCACCAGCAAGCTAATTGATGCATTAGAGCTTTCAGCCAATCAGAAGCTTGTGAAATATGTAGAGAGAGAATTAACGCCTCATGATTGTATCCCTCCACCAACCGGTCAAGTTGCAGCAAATATGGTCACAACCTCCACTTCTGTTGCTGAGTGACAGCGTTGAATTATGACCAGAAGTGTTTTTGCAGAATATTATGATGTCACAGTGAAGTTGACCTTTGACCTTTTGGATATAAAGTGTCACCACTGTTTGAAAATGTATTTTATTTCCAATAAATAGACCGGCTGTGTGAGCCATTGCGGCGCTGATTTATCACCAGGTTTTGCAGCTAAAGTTCGACTAAACTGAACGTTGACCTCAAATATTCTGACCTGCACAATCATGTTTTTATCTACTGCTCTTTGGCTCTGATGCTGATGATGTTACTGTGGAGGAGAATGGAGATTAAAGTTATTTAATCCTGCTCTTATTCCACCGGGACTGTAGCATGTAGCATCCCAGTTGGTGGTTCAATGTGTTGCTGTATGTGTCTGTTGTGTGTTTCATTTCGAACCTGCTGTTACGCATCCAGATGTCTGAGTAGTGCCACGAAAACCAGAGTTTTGGTAGTCAGCACCAATACCACTTCAACTCCACGATTCATTAAATGAAAATATTAATTTAAAAAGTCAGTGTGACATTTTAACAGACTGTACAGTGATGAGTGTAGCTGCTATTGTTGTGAGCACCGAGCCATGATCTGTCACTACATTAGCATAAATAAGCTAACGTTAGCTTGTTTATGCTAACATGGTGACAACTTATAATGTGAGCTGTCACCATGTTAGCCTAAACAAGCTAATGTTAGCTTATTTATGCTAATTTTTATTTATTCTCGTTTAGGCCAACGTTAGCTTGTTTAGCTCATAACGTGAGTTGTCACCATGTTAGCCTAAACAAGCTACCGCTGGCCTAAACAGGTTAACGTTAGCTTGTTAAGTTAGCTTATAAGTTGTCACTATGTTAGCCTAAACAAGCTACCGCTGGCCTAAACTGAACTCTGTGTTGAGATCTGATGTCTGTCTCAGTCAGTCTGAGTTGTTTCCTCTTGTGGCACCATTTCCATTCTGGCTTTTATTTAGTGGTGCTTTGGTACTTTTGTTACTGTACCTGCATTTGCTGCTGTCATTCTGCGTGTTGTCGTTATTGTTTGGTGTGTCTGCCTTCGTCTTCTCTCCGAGTTCTCAAGTATCTACAACATCTTCTGTACTTAGGGTACTGTAGAAAAATGAGTACCGCCACATTTCCACATCGACTTTGTCAGTCCTCGAGACATTGCTCGTGGTGAGAAGCATGGCTGTGCCTCCGGGCTAAAACGCAGGTGTATTGTGGGGCTGAAAATGTTTTGGTGGTTTTTTTGTTGTCATTACAAAAGCAGTGTTACAGCTCCAGCTGTGGTACAGCACAGGTATGACTTCATTCCTGTTCAGCGCTGCAGCAGGGGCCTTTGGAAATGAGTCCACACCACAAACTGTACGTCACTTACATGGAGCAGCTGTAAACAGAACCCCGATGACAGCGTGGTCCAGTCAGACACATCGAACACGAGCACTAGGAGCCGTCACCGCTCATTAGACAAACTTTGCCTGAGACTCACTCTGAGTTTTTTTTTCTTGTACATCTGAAAGCCGCTCCGAAGTCTCTGTGACGTCAGTCCTCGGTCCCAGACGCCCGCGGTTCCATTAACACTCACGTTTCTGTGGAGAAGCTGCGGCGTCGCCAGCTGCTCCGAGACCAGCCAAAAGTGAGATTTCACACGAGGAAAGTGACAGATATGACTGCTGTTGGGAGCTTTTAGACGGTGCTGTCAGGCTTTTCATTTTGAGGTGTTTGCTGTGAAGCCTGTGGAGGTACACAGACTAGTGACAGGAGGACAAACCCACTTCCATAATTACCCCTGGATGGCAGGGACATGCTGTTTTGTTTTTGTGTGGAAAAGAGATGTTTCTGAAAGTCTATTCCTGGCAACTCAGAGAGCAGCAATTTCACCTCATCTGAGGCTGAGAGCTGCTCACGTTTAGCTCCTGTGTTGTGGCTGAGCTCTGCTTAATGTGGCGTTCTTGACATAATGATGCAGCGTCACACAGCTGGACAGACACTAATTACACAGAGCTAAAAAATAAAAACTAGAATCACCTCCTTGTGGTCATGCACCTCCTCCACTCGGATTAGTTTCAGGTTTTATCCAGAGTCAGAGAAAATATGAACCATTTTTGTGAAATTTTGTCCTAAAAAAAAATGGTTTCTGAGGTCACTGTGAACTTTATCTTTGACCTTTGACCACCAACTACTAACTAATCAGTTTGTCCTTGAGTCCTAAAGAAGGTTTGTACAAAATTTAAAGAAATTCCCTCAAGGCTTACAGAGATATTACATTCACAAGGCCCAAACTGCGTTTTATGAGGTCAATGTGACCTTGACCTTTGACCTTTGAGCACCAGAATCTCACCAGTTCATCCTTGAGTCTTAGTGAATTTTTGTGCCAAATTTGACGATGTTCCCTTCAGGCGTTACTGAGATATCGTGTCCATGAGAAGGTGGCGAACAGATGGACAGCCTGAAAACAATATGGCTGCTGCTCTGACTGTCGCCAGCGCGGAGGAACAAAAAAAGAAAAGGAAATGGCGACGCTGATTCTGTAAAGTTCATCTGAGCTCAGAAACACTGACATTTAGATTCAACCTGCCCCCCTTGTGGCATTATCAGCCCCCCCCCTTCCTCCCTCTCTGTCCCTTTCTGTCTGTTTGTCTTCCCGTCTTGATGCCCACCTGTTTACCTGGCAGCCCCCTCTTTGAAGGAGGGATTTTTTTTCCCTCAAAGCAGCAGATAAGTGGCGTCGTCCACACGTGAAACAGATCTGTATCAACTCACCTCATCGCCGGGGATTTTGTTAAAATCCCTCATAAAGCCGCATCTATCATCCGCCAAGAATATTGGCTCGGATTTAAATTTCAAATGTGATACGGCAAAACTACAGGGGAGGGGGGGGGGGGGAATCCTGCTTATAATTGGCACTCATTTTAAAGGAAAATTGTTCAAGGGAATATTCCAGTCCATGGAGTAATATCTTATTTACAGAACGCCTCTCATTTTCAGTGCATGCTGGCAAAGGAAAATGATTGTGTCCCTGTATTTGTGAGCGGCCGTACAGAGAGCTGAGCGCTGCCACGGGTGTTTGTCATGCTCTCAGCACAGACCATTACAAACCTGATTGATTTTATGTTCGACTGTGAACAGAATCATTTGCCTCTGAGCGGCCTCAGAACTGATTCCTGCAAAATATCATTTTCTCCGGGATCGGGAGGAAATGTTTCTTTGGGGCTGTAAATCGGCGTCACGAGAGATGAATGGAGTCCCCGCTGCTGGCCCGCTTGGTTTTTGTTTACGTTGAAGGGTTAGATGACAGCCATCTTGGATCGGCGGGGGGATAGAGTGCGGCGATGGTGAAGTTTCACAGTCTATGAATATTCATTGAAAACATGGAAGCCTTCAAACGAGCCGAGCTTCATTCCTCTGCGGCGTCGTCCTGTTGCTGATTCTGACTCTGGGTTATGGGTCTGATTCCACCTGCGGAAACTCGGGGAACGAAGGGCAAACTGAGGAGTCCTGGATTAAAACCTCTCCCTGGTGACCTCTGAGAAAAATCCACTCAGTGCTGATGTTCAGATAATGACTGGAACTGGGTTTCAGAAAACTGTGACACTTAGAAACAGCTAGTTTGTGTGGAGCAACATGTTTTTAATTAAGTTATGTTTAAAGCTCCACTTACTTCAGAGCCAGGCTAAGAACAGCTGGAGCATCCGGCTCTGAAACAGCTTTGAACCAAGGCTCTGATTAATACTCTCAATAGCTTGTGAATAACATGTACATATTGTTGTGACTGCTTCGTTGTGACATCACAAAGTTCCAGAAGTCCTGACGGCTGGTTTTAAGGCTCAGTTTCTGAATACAGGCTGTGTGCATTTCTCTGTGGACTGAGGCTTTGATACTTTCACAGT